ACTTAATACCAAGTTACTTATATGGAATTTCGTTTTAAGAAATATCACAGGAAAAAATTAATTGTAGCATTAAGAAATATCACAGGAAAAAAAATTAACTGTAGCAAACTTTTCAGTTCGTCGAAATTTAGAAATACACGTGAATTATTGTTTTAAACTCTACAGGAACTATGCCATCAATTTCTTAGGAACATTTAAATATACAACAAATCGAAAACAGCCATTAAGTTGACCGTATATGAGCTTTACCAACATATGGACTGAATTATTTGGATTAAAGCAAATAACGTAAAGACTATCTGTCTTAAAGGAGAGATGGCTTCGTAGAGAACGTCTTAAGGGAGATTGGCTCAAATTTAGACTCACATCGGGAAAACCACATAACTTCCATGTCCATTCGCCGGGTTCTGAAACCAGACAGAATAACTGCGGTCTCAGCGGTCTTTACGCTCGATCAGTTCCAAAAAAAAATATTTTATGTTCTGTGCTGCATAATAAAGAATATTTCACAATGGAGATTCCACATAAAGTTGGATTCAATCAATCTTAAAGTCATGTAAGTTAAATTGGTTGTAAAAGGAAGAAATTGTAGGTATTGAATAAAAAGTAATGGCAAGGTGAAACTCTTAAAACAAATAGAATCGTTTCTTACAAACATTTTTATTCAGAAAGGGGGCTGCCACACCCACTATAAATTTCTTTTCATAAGTGTCCTGCTAATAGGCGTCAACAATATGATCCTGATCGCACGCTGTCCTACCAAGAATCCACAGACAACAAGGAATAAGTTTGATCACTTTAAAGGAGGAAACTGGTACAAAGCATGTGCAGAAGTCCAAGGCAACCAAACTCTCTTCATATAGCTGAGATATAGAACAATACATGAATCATCAATTTTTGAAAAAATGTTATGCTGACTGGATCTGAAGAACTGTAAAGTATCTAGTTACATGATTTGGGAATGAAATTTCCATGCACCTGTCAAACAGGTCATTTCATAGAAGATAAAATGAATGCTACGGAACATAGAAAGATGCTTCATGGCTCTCTTTATTCTTCTATCAAAGGAAAGTTTAGTGGTGTTCAGGATATTATTTTTCACCATGGCGAGTATCTTGTCATTCGGCCCAAATAGTAAAGATTCAAACAAGAATTGCCCATCTCGTATATAAATAGTCTTCACCTTTATCTGGCAAAAAACTGCTAATACATATTTAGAAAAAACATTAGACTAAAAGGCAATTATATGAGAAGTTACATAGACGATAGCCACTACTAAGGACAGAAGTGGTGCTCACTTTATTATGGACGCACCTAATAGGTGCGCCACCTTTGCCTCCTATGATGGGACGAACAAATACAACCATGCCTTCTTCGGGATTCGAACCCGGGCCCTTTGGTATTGTAATCAGCTCCCCTAACCACTATACCCTCTGGGCTGCATATAGCCTTCTTTTACAAGTCCCAAACAGGTGAGAGGATGTTCAAAAGTGAAATGATCAGAACCACGTTTTTAACAGATGGGGTAGATCTTATTTCCCCGGTCAAATTTAAGACATTTCAGGTGTCCACTGAACAGCATTGTCAAAGTAGTCTGCCGAGCATGATTATCCCCAAAAGCATTAGTAACTTCCGGCTGCCTGCCAGTCATGAACCGGAGGAGTACCAGTTATGAACCGGCGGAGAATGCCAGGAAGAGGCAACAGCAGATTTAACTCTGGAGCAGATCTCCAAAAAGGTCAGGACGCCAGTGGTCAGAGTCATTGGAGTAACCTTCCTTAGCTAGGGCATCAGCCACTGAAGAGAATGTGTGAAGGTATCCATTGCAAATGTACATCATGATGGAAAGAGAGTATATAAGTTGCTAACGTAACTTTACTAAGTTATATGAGAAGATAATCACTGCAGTATTATCATCTGACTGAAATATCAAAGCAAAATAAGATTTAACATAATACTGCAAACAAAACCCTTTGTTTTTCTTATTGCAAATCATTCACTTAAGTTATGTGGGCCCATCTTTCAAAATTTACTGTATTATTTGACGCAAAAGGCTGCTGAATAATATTAATAAGATTGAAATCTATTCAATAATCATCATGCATTTTCCAGTGATTTTAAACGAACTCTGAAAGCAGTGTACAATACGGCATTTTTGAGGATGTCAATGTCTACATTCTGCGTTTATAAGTACACATTCATAGTTAGCTTTTATTGTTCCGAGCTGGCGAATTGGATTCCACTTACACCTGAACGCGGAAGCAACCCAAGCAAAACCCATTGGATTCGCTAGAAACAGAAAACCCTCTTTTCTCAATCGAATTAGATGAGATAGAGAGCAAGGATGACACATCCGAGTTCCCTGACACGGTTCTTAATGCCATTAACTGTCAGGTAGCATCCAACAAGGCGACTCTCGTTCTTCTAGCCTGGTATTTCATTAGTTCCTTCGTGCCAGGGAGAGAAGAGTGAGAGATACCAAAGGGGTGACTGAGAAACAAAAGCAGGGTTTGTTCCACCCGAAAGGGGCGGTGGTCGGCTACTTCCGCTTCCTTCTTCCTTTCCGGGAACGTCCCCAATTTCGAGGTTGCTCGACTATCCCCCTGAGAGGGCAAGGAACAAATTCGGTTACAGGCGGAAGAGGGAAAAGGAAAAGGTTGTTTGCCAGCAACAGAGTTGTGATGTTTAAGAGAAAGAGAGCTTGCATTTTTGAAGAGAAAACTCCGAATGTCAAACCTCGATAAATAACTTGATTTATTCAATGAAAAGAGAATGAAGTTAAAAGAAGTTTCATGCCATTTAGCAGTCGATTGGAGAATTCAAAGAGACCATTATCAGAGAACGGGGGCAATAATTTACTCAAGTTGCACAAAACATTTGAAGAGATGAGAATGTAATGTGTGTTCTATTGCTATTACCAATAAAAATTGAAAATATATATTACAATAAATAAATAACTAAATAAAATCTGAAGGCTTGCAGATTTTACATTACGCCCAAAGGAGCGTCTTTTAACGTTTTGTGGGTTACTTTTATTTATTAAATATCATGTTCTTCGCACTTAAACCATAAAATTCAATTCAACCGCAATATCGCAAAATAATTTCAATATGAGCACATCTTTAGAATTTCCGATACACAGGCTCGCGCGCTGGAGATAAAAATGTTTTATTTTCGTACAGTGCTGTCATTGCTCTCTTTGAAATCGTTGAGTTTGTACATAAAAAAATTCGTTACAAAATATGAAATCGATAATAACGCAAATTCCAAATTAGGGCTTCCAGATACCCATAATTTGATGGAAAATTACATTGATTTTATGTATTCCAGATACCCATAATTTGATGGAAAATTACATTGATTTAATTAATTTGATGAAAATTACAAATTGATGGCTCTAGGTACAATTGTTTGATCAGAGTGCGAGAAACATACATACATTTATACAGATTCTTCATTATTTAACTTCTTTAAATATATTGCAGGGCTCTAACATTTGGTGGAAACAATCTGAAAAGTGACACACCGTTTATAGTGATTCAAGGCAAAATGCCAAAACGAAATTAATAGCCCTTCTGGGCTAACGCCCTTTGGGCTAATAATAATTTCTCATTTAAAATGTAATGCTTATTATTTATACAGAAACTCCGGGGTTTTTCACTCGGATTCTAAAAGCAATATATGGGTAAATAATTCCCCCCCCTTCTTCAGAATAACAATGTTTACTCAAATCTCTGAAAGCAACTAAGCGTATGAGATAAGTTATCAATAACATATGTACTTAATTTTTCTTGAAATATTAAATCTGCACAATTCAGCGAAAACAAACGTTATTGGAATGTTAATCGTAATCGGTTTTCCTCTTCATTACGTAAAAATAATTAATGATTTCATACATATGAAGGCAAGGTAAAATGGTAACAGATGTTTACTATCTTTAATGACTAACACAGTGTCAAACAGATGCCCAACTGGGATAGTGGGTAGTGCTCTGACTGTCGTACCGAAGGGCCTGGGTTCGAATCCCGGAGAAGGCATGGACGTCTGTAAATGTATAGTGCCTGTGCGGCATGGGGGCACTCTAAATATGCGGGGAGCCGAAAATTCTCTAGAGAGGTTGCTGGTAGGGAAAGAGGGGGTGCGGATAGTCCTCGGACCCAAACTCCCGAGGTGCTCTTCATCAAAATTGGGGGGGGGGAGCGGAAATGAGCAAAGTCGTACTGTTACCAATATGGTGCTCAAGACTGTCGCCAACGACAGGCGCCATCTTGCACTTCTTGCTACGATGAATTTCGTGGGCTTATTCTGATGCTACTATCAGATAAGTGAGATAAGTCAGAACCCGTGTGCCAATGCCTGCCTTTCCAATAGAGGTGGGAATTGTTTGACATCTACAAATGATGACAGTAAATTTTTAAATGGTCAATTACGAAATTTCTAAATGTCATCGCATGCATTTTATCGCCTCAGTGGTTAAGGCTGTGTCTTGCTAAAAATAAGAATAATATTTACTCGTATTTTATAACGGTAATCAATATTGTATCGTAATATGTTTATGATACTGAAAATCATACTCTAGATTCATGGTAGGACGCGCAAAGTTCACTCAGTAGACTTTGGGTTAGTACATCATCAGTGTCTCTTCTAAATGCCAAACGCATTTTACGCTCAAACCAAGAACATCAAAAGTAATATTACGTCTATGAATATCAAAAATTATTTTAAGGAAGAGAGAATTACGTTGATGAAGAATACATCTGAGACTGCTTTCACATTTTAGCTTCACAGTAAATAAAATACACATTTGATGCATTGATTCTGATACAGAACCTATTGTAATCATCACAAATACAAATGACATCTTGGTTTCATATGAAAGACGACAAACAGAAACTGCTTTATCAACGACGACTTTAAAGTTCGACTTATTATAGGACTTAAAAGTTCGATTAAAACAACTGCACAGCCTTTAATAGTAAAATAAGGCAAAGAGAACTCACCTTCTTTTCTGTCATGACGTATAGATGATTTCTAGCTTTATCGAACACCATGTCGGCATTTACCGGACTCCCTTCATCAATCACGATGTCGGCGTATTCTGAGGCTTTCGTTATGGTTTCTACGACCGCCTGAAATTAAGAAGGAAATAAAACTTAAAACATATTCAGAATCACTAAAAAAATATAAATAACTAATGCACATTGCGGGAGAAATATTACCATTATTTTATAAGACGGTCGCTATGGTTTTTAAAAGGTGCGTTTTCGCGACGCATTTTGCTATTTTTGGGTTGGTTTAAGTTGATGGTTTGTGACAAAGCACACTAGGGCTATCTGCGTAAGGGAAGGGATGTCTTCGTGGAAGGCTTTCTAAGGGAAACTGGCTCGTATACACGTTACACATGTGGAAAACCACGAAAACCCTCATGCAGCCAGCTCAGTCGCCTGGAATCAAACCCAGGTCGGAACTACCACTATTCAGCGGTTTTACCGCTCGGCGGCTGGTGGACCCTATTTATTTGGCATGGGAAAATTACATACTATTGAAGCTATAAAAGGAAAAATTAGGAAATACGTCACACAGCTAATTAAAATAATTCAAATATACAGATTTCATTAGTTTAAATTCGTGAAAGAGCTTAAGAGAATTTCACACCACTCGCCATCCAAATTCAAGTTTATACTAAATAGCGTAAAAATATTTACGTTATTTTTACGCTATTTTCTACTTGCTGAGTTAGAGAGAATTAGAGAATCAGAGTTTCTGATTTGCGCGCGTCTGCCTTTTGGCTACGTTCTCTCAAAGCTGTTATGACGTACTCAGGCCCTTGATAAGCTTCTTAGTCAAATAGAGGTAAGGGGCCAACTCGATTAGAATCTTGATAGCTTCGGCTATATCTCTTTAGTTAATCTTAGTTTTAGTTTATTTCTTAGTCTCTTAAGTTCAAGCCCAAGTGTCGGCTTTTATTGTACACTCCAAGACGGAGTTCTGTTAAATCTTATTGGAATAATAAAGGGTTAGTTATCCTTCCACCTTGTTGTTTCTAGTCACACGACTTTACGCGATTATTCGCTAACTTAAGGTTACTCACTTTTGACTGCAATTACACAGTGGTAAACTTCAGAAGTCTTAAAAACATCTTCTGGGGATTCTAACTCGTGCTAATTCACTGGAAACTTCCTAACGAATTTCTGGACCGTAAACATTACCTACCTTGTCAGTGTATACAGGCTGACGGGAGCTAAAATCAGTGAATATAGCAATATTCATCATAGAATGTATGGTTGAAACGCAAGCGGTCAGAAGTTACAAAGATAACGTCAGAAAACATTTTATTAACAGGAATGTAACTGATGTACATGCTCTGCTTCTGCCGTAATTTCTATGGCAATATCGCTTGCACAGCTGAATTACATCACTCCGTAAAATTTTGCCCACTTTTTCAGATTCACCCTGTATAAAGGAAAATCTTGCTAAATAAGGTAATTGACACAGTTTCTCAATGCTTGGTAACTTCTTAATTAAAACTTCTTAATTAGCAAAATATTTATCTTTAGTTCCTCTTGGTTCTTCGACGAGATTTGATGAATATGTTCTTTTGTTAATCTTATAATGCAGATATGAAAAAATAATAGAAAAAAGGGGGAAAATTCGTATTACTTTTCGTTGCTCCCAAAACACGAATAGTTATATTTTACGCTTCTTAAAAATTTCAATTCTTCATTCGATTCGAATGTTACTTTTTAAAAGAATAAGAGCAGGATGAAGAATGGGTTTATATAACAAAAAAATGAAACCAGAAATGAAACAACAGCCCGAAAATATTAGAATCTTGGAGACGTCATTGATCAGGAGAAAACATAAATCGTTGACTTTTTTTTTTTTTTTTTTTTTTTTTTATATCTAATCGTGCTCAGAAATCCCGCCTTCAAAGAAAATAATATCGCTTAACAAGAACATGTGACAGCAAATCTTTTCAAAAAAAGTTGGCAACTCAAAATCCCTGGGTTTTGGCGAAGGGGAAGAAGGATCACAACAACAAAAGCCTCCAAATACTCATTTCCACGCCCTTCTCTCATTCTATTGGTTCGTGGTTCCAGACATAAGATCTACGCCCAAATAACAAGACACCCAGAAAATAAAATACTCCTCACTACAAGCGACGAGATATCCCATCGGTGGCAACTGTCCAAAGAAGATTTACAGAGTGACAGCTAAAAAGGGCTTGCAGCCCCCTCAGTGCGAAGCAAGGGGGTGGTAGTAGATTAAGGGGTTTGTTCGGGACACAAAAGATTTCGCTGGAGAAAAGGAGGGGAGGAGAAGGAATCGCACCCGTCAGCGAGGATGACTGTGTTAAGTCCCCAACAGTATGGTCTCGCCAAATCCCTCACCTAGAGTTGCTTCTGCCTGATTTCTGTTCCATGGAACAGAAGGCATCATGTGAGCTCGATGCAATCAGCAGTGAGTGGCAGGAAAGGGTTGAGGCGTAAGTGACAAATTGCTGCCAGCCAGAAGAATCAATGAGTAGAAAAGAGTGGAGAAGGAAAAAAAGTATAATTCAATAGGTCGCTGTTATTAATCCCGGGAGATTTTCTCCCGCATTTGCTGGATGTTCCTCAGCGTGGGAATGTTTGGGCGGAGGGAGGAATCACGTGACGTTACAGACAAAGGATGCTGGATTATAGCTGCTTTTATTTCCTCGGAAAATGAGCTCCCTTCAGTGTTAATAAATAAAAGTTGATGTAACAAGTCAGACCGAAACAAAATTAAAAAGTTAATTTTGAAGCAATGCTTCCGAAATGCCACACGTCCAATAAATTACCTCTGGCAACAGATATCCAGCTTGAAGTTTTGAAGCGTACTATTAGCAAACACGCAGACATCATTAATCATTCAAAAGTGAAATGATTGCCAGCTAACAGATGTAAATTGTGCAATGCCAGCTAACATACATACATATTTTTACCACAGGAAAAGATACCAATTACCAAATCAGTTTCAACGGTAACACAATATAATTTCATTAATGTTTTAATAATACGAGGGGGGAAAGTATTGTTCGCCAATAGATTTCAACATTTACCACCACTTAAACAAAATGTAGCACATTCTTAGGATTGTAGAATGATGCATAACCACAACCCTTGCTGCAAATTGGCAACATTATTGTCGAGGCTCACCAAATATGCATAACTTTCAGATTTTTAAGCATTTTTGTCTCAGGTGTACACAGATCTTACATATTAGTTTTGGCCGCAGCCCTTTAGTGTGACATATCATTTTCAGAAGTATTATTCATTATATAGGCAGACCCCCCCCAAAAAAAGTCTAAACTGATACCATAAGTGATAAAAGTTCAAAACAAGTTTCCGGAAGAGATTGGGTGTGTCCCAGGAAAAACGATCCAAAAATTCAACTCGCAGTCACAAAATTGGAAGAAAGGGGAGAGATTTCTTCTTCCTTGCGCACAATAAACCATTTTCTCGACAGCACGTTGGAAGAACTTCACCCAAAAAAGGTAAGAAGTATAAAATTGAATTTTAATCATCGGAAATCGTAAAGCGTAATGGAATTTGAATACCTTTCCAGAAAAAAAAAAAAAAAAAGAATTTTTTTCAACTACAGAACTAAAAAATAATTTATAATACCTAGGAAATGAAATAAAAATTTAAGATATTAGGTAGCTGCCACCATGCAAAGAAGAAAAATGCTCCCGGAAAGTTCTTTTTACCACTTTGGTTTTTCTCCCCCTTCAACATCTGGCGCCTAATCGATTGTCGAGGAGATATCGATTTTATTGTTTTGAGGAAAGAAACTCCTTTTCTCCCCCCTTCCCCTGCCCTCTTCTCGAATGTGGATTCCAAACATTCCAGACTCAACCTATAAAAAGCTTTTGATCTTCAACCCCAAAAGATTTTCCGGCCTCTTAACTTCCAGTGACATGAATATAATTTTTAGAGAAGGACTGTTTTTTAAAATTTTCAAATCAAACTTTTTAAAATTTCAATTACATTAATACAGTAAAATATTAAAACTGAAATTTAATACAGCATTTTAACAACGAGCGCCTACTACAACCATCAATTCAGCTTCTCGAATGTAATATGACGCGAGATTTCATCTAGCATACACAATTCTTACTTTCTCCATGCGTGTGTCATATATTATACTGTCAATATCTATACCCAATAAAACTGCTACACCAAGAAGGAAAAATCATAGAAATTTAGAAATTCAGAGGACTATTAACCTTTTAACTGTCATGCCCGAGATAATCTCGGGTACAGCACTGGTGTTCGAAAATGTTACGCCCGAGTATTACTCCAGGTAATTTTTTTTTTTTTTTTTTTTTTTTTTGAGTGCATCGTATTGTTATACCCGAATATATATCGGGAGACGTTTATTTCGGCTTCATCTCTTTGTCAAACCCGTCTGTATCTCGGGAAAAGTTAATGTGCGCTCAGTTCAATAGATGACAGCACTTTAACTGAAGATTTCAAAGGTTAGAGGTTAAGTGCTTGGGTTCAAAGTGCATGGGGTCTTTTTGTTGTAAAATAGCCTCCAGTTCTTTGAAACGTTATATAGATGATTTACATTCTTCAACCGAAGGTGAAGGATGTGTGTTTGATGAGCAGTATTCATGATACTTCCATGGTCAGCCTCAAAAATAAAAAATGGAGATATACTCAAGCCGAAGATTGTTTCTAATTACGGTTTAACTATGGGTGGTGTAGATCGCTGTGATCAGGAAATATCCTTTCATCCAACAATCCGAAAACGTCAGAAAAAATATAAAAAGATATTTTTACATTTACTAGATAAGGTACTCTGGAACTCATATTTGCTCTATAAAAATGTAGTTGGGAAACGTATTACATTTTTAGAATTTCGAATCCAAGTTGTAGAAGAGCTTTTACATAAATATGATGATGCAGCTTCTGAACAAAAGAATGTTGGCAGACCACCTACAATAGATAACCCTGCCCGTCTTACTGAACGACATTTTATATCCCATTTTCCTCTTACTCCTGCGAAACGTGAGCCTACAAGACAGTGCAAAGTGTGTTGTTAGAAAAAGGATAAAAATGGGGAAAAATAAGGAAGGAATCACGATTCTGGTGTAGTGATT